ATACCAACTTAGTGGTTCGTTATGGTGAACGGAAGTGGTTCGTTATGGAAGTATATGTAGATACTTGTATATAATGTGTATATACAGTGTAATAACAGCAAAAGGAGCGTGGGAGGGGGGGAAAAGCCATTTTGGTGATGTGTGTGTGGCAACATCTGCATGATTTGTCATGTTGGTAGGGGTGGCCACTATGCTCTTTGGGCATTATACCGGCTTAGTTGAACAGTTATGGTGAACAAAACATGTAGATACTTATATATAATGTCTGTATATAGGGTAATAACAAGACAAACAGTATAGTTGGGGGTGAAATTTTAGGCGTCTGACCTTGAATGTGTGAGGGAAGCAGCCGCCAGCTGACTGTGTGTAGCGATGTCTCTTAGTGCCTGAACTAACTATATCAACTTAGTTGTACAATTGTGGTGAACAAAGCGTGTAGATACTTATATATAACATCTGTATATAGTGAATAAAAGCAAAAACAATATTGTGGGAGGAGAATGTGGGTGAGTTAGGTGAGTTGAGGGAGGGAGGAAGTAGCAGCCAGTACTCACCTAGTTGTGTTTGCGGGGGTTGAGCTCTGGCTCTTTGGTCTGAGCAGTGGCGGGCTGCCACTGCCACTGCCACTCAGCATGCCACTTAGTGGTTCGTTATGGTGAACATGACTGTAGATATTTATATATAACGTCTGTATATAGTGAATACACTGTAAAAGCAAAGACAGTATGGTGGGAGGAGAATGTGGGTGAGTGAGGTGTTGAGGGAGTGAGTGGCAGCGAGTGGCTAGCTGGTGTGTCGCAGTCACTCCTCGTTGCTTTTTGACTCGTAATACCAACTTAGTGGTTCGTTATGGTGAACAAAATATGCAGATACTTATATATAACCTGTGTATATAGTGTATTAACCGACAAAGTATTTGTTCACTGTTTGATGAACATAATAATTGAATCAACAATATGCACACCATATTTTTGAGTACAGCGATGATTCACTCATTTTATTATATAAATATATCACACTACACACTATTGAATAATATTACAGCAAAAAACTACGAAAAATCAATCAGAGACATTGAAATAATTAGGTAATTATCTCTTTGTGGCCACTCCTGCCTGACAGCTGGGAGCAACAGACCGTCTGGGACGCATGCCAAGTCAGCGCCTGTTTTTTTGCCAGACTTCCCCGCCCTATAGCGGGCAATATATGCCTCTTACGATTTTATTATTATTTTTCCCATGATCAGAGAACACAAATTAACAGGTTTAGAAGAATTTTTGTTGTTATGTGCATTAGCCCTGAGCAACACAAGGGTTAAAGATGCTAATGATGCTGGGATATGAAGGGGTGACTGCTGAGATGTTGCAAAGCATTGACTTTTTTGTAGAAAAAAAATGAAATTTTTTGAAATACTAGTACAACAAATGTCAAAAAGGTTCGTTCGGTGTTCGGCAGGTAGGCTGCTCCATGGTTTCTTAAATAAAAACAAAATGAAAATAAAACAAATGAAAATTTTTGAAAAACGGAACAAATGTCAAAAAGGTTTGTTCGATTTTCGGCAGGTAGGCTGCTCCATGTTTCTTAAATAAAAAAAAAACGAAAATTAAAAATAACGGTTGAAACAATTTGATAAATGGACAAATGCCATAAAGTTTCGTTCAGTGTTTGTCGGGTAGGCTGCTCCATTATTGAGACGTAAATGAAAAATACAAAACAAATGGAACACATTTAAAACAAAGAAAGATTGTTATAATGGAGCAGCCTACCCGACCCCAGTGTACCCCAGAAAAATCACCACTGCCTGATGTTATAATGGAAAGGGACTCCCCTTCCAAACAGTAACACCTCTCCTCCTCCCCCCTCCTCACCATCCTACATATGCCAACAGGAGTCATCAGTAAAGGTAAGTACTGTAATAACTTGTACATATTGAACTTTTGTAGTGAAGATTTGTGTGAATTAGGTGTAAAATTTACTTTGAAGTTAATTTTTGGGGGAGTCTGGAACGGATTAATTCATTTCCCTTTATTTCTTGTGGGAAAAATAATTTTGACTTGCGATATTTTAACTTACGATACGTCCCTGGGAACTGATTACCATCATAAATCAAGGCCCCACTGTAGTTTATAACAGTAGATTGATTGACAGTTGAGAGGCGGGCCAAAAAAAGTAGAGCTCAACCCTTGCAAGCACAACTAGGCGAATGCACACCACTCGACGCATGTCTGGAGAGGAGTGGAAAGTGGTGTTGCCCAGGGCTCGGTTCTAGGAATATTGCTGTTTTTTTATTTATGTAAATGACCTCACAGAGGAAGTGAGCTCATCGGGATGTTTGCAGATGATGCAAAGTTAATGAGGAGAGTAAGAACTGAAGAGGATTGTGCTGCAGAAAGTCCTTAATAAACATAAGGAATAGGCAGGTAAATGGCTGCTAAAATTCAATCCAAATAAGTATAAAGTTATGAAAATGTGTATGGGACAAAGGAGACTTGAATTTAAGCATTTAACTTCACCATAAGGGGAAGATGGTTACAAAAACTAAAAAAAAAATCTAAAAAAAAAAAAACGTGGAAGGGAGGGAATTATCAGGGAAAGTGCCAAGCCATTACGACTATATAGCACTGGGAAGGGGTCAGGATAAGGATTTGGGATGGGACGGGGGGGGGGGGGGAGGAATGGTGCCCAACCACTTGGATGGTCGGGGATTGAATGCCAACCTGCATGAAGCGAGGCCGTCACTCTACCGTCCACCCCAAGTGGTTGGGCAACATAGACCTGGGAGTAGACATAATCTCAATACTAACACCACAAGCTCATGTGAACAGGATAACATCGTCAGCAGGTTATGGGATGTTAGCAAACATAAGAACATCATTTAAGAATTGTAAACAAGAAGGCTTTCAAGTTAACACATACCACTTGTGTGGGATCATTACTTGAGTATGCAGCACCAACATCCACACACAATTTCAATTTTATCGATTCCTGTAAATAGAAACAGGAATCGATAAAATTGATAGGGAACAATTCCTGAGACCCGGAATTTCAAGAACAAGAGGTCATAGATTTAAACTTGCGAAACAAAGCTGCCGGAGAAATATACGAAAATTCACTTTTGTAAATAGAGTGGTAGACGGTTGGAACAAGTTAAGTGAGAAGGTGGTGGAGGCCAAAACCGTCGGTAATTTCAAAGCATTATATGACAGAGTCCTGGGGAGACGGGACACCACCAGCATAGCTCTCTTCCTGTAACTACACTTAGGTAATTAATTACACACACAGTTTAGATTTAAACTAGCTAAACACAGATGCCTAAGAAATATAAGAAAGTTTACTTTCGCAAACAGAGTGGTAGACGGTTGGAACAAGTTAGGTGAGGTGGTGGTGGAGGCCAAGACCGTCAGTAGTTTCAAAGCGTTATATGACAGAGTGCAGGGAAGACGGGACACTACGAGTGTAGCTCTCATCCTGTAGCTACACTTAGGTAATTACACCCTGTGAAACTTAAAGAGAAATATCAGAAAGTTCAGAGGTTTTCAACTTGATTAATACCAGAATTGAGAGGCCTGCAGTATGAGGACAGGTTGAGGGAATTCACCCTGACAACCTTAGAGGAGAGAAGAAACATTGGGGATAAGATCGCTGCATGCAAGATCCTGAGGGGAATAAAAAAGGTGGACAAAGGAAGCCTATTTAAATTATAAAGGGATAGGACTTGGGGACATCAGTGAAAGTTAGACATGCAGTTGTGTTGAAGAGATGTGTGTGGAAGTTCTTGTTCCCTGTGCAGGTGGTCGGCAAGTGAAATGCATTGAAGGAAGATGATCCCACCAAACACGAGCCAAAACTATGACGTTGCTACAATGTTTGGACAAGGTTTAACACCTAACAATTGTAACAACCAATATAGCAAGTTGTAACTACATTCTCATGTCATGAAAAAACATTATAGCAAGATGTAGCTACTTTATTATAAGTTATAACCAGGGAATCATAGGGACCGTTACATTGTGTGTTTGCAGGGATGTTGAAGCCAGTTCCATCCCCAAATAAAAAATATGATGAAAAAATTAATGTTGAGAAAGGTAATTAGCATGTGGCAATAAACGGCTAGTTCACTCCCCCCATAATCACTGATAGGCACCACTCATACCCACCTGTACACACCACTCATATAGTGTATATATATATATACTAGCCTTGTAGCAAGTCCAAATTGTGTAATATTTTTTGTATTTCAAGACGGGTGGGAACTTGTATATATTTGTGATTACCAAACTATATTTGACAATATTGTTTGTATTGACACACACCTTAACCTTATGCTTGGGAGGCCCCTTCCACCTTGGGAGGCCCTGGTCAGGGGCTGGGCTACGGGGAAGTTGATCTCCGAAATCAACGTATTGTAATTATAAGGTAAGGTACCAGGTATAACTTCCTTCATAACTTCCTTGATTAAATATGGTAAGAAAAATTAATGAATTGTCTGTTGTTTAATTCTTGGGTATGCCAAGTCAGAGTAAGTTTTTTCTCCTTGGTTTTGAAGAAAATGAATTGCACATGTGATCTTTAGAGAAGTGTAACATATTGATAATATTCATTTATTTTAACAACTGTCTTTAACATTTTCATCTTAATACTGTAGGATGGAAGAGGTTCTTCCAATCTCTTGAGGAAATAAGCTTGACTCACCAATTAGTGCAGGGAAATAATGTTAATCAAGGTGCCGGGTATATACACTAATCGAATGCTACGTGCCGTTGTTATTTAATTATTCAAAACAGTACACTAATATGATTTTTATACTGATCAAATATATTATGCACTTATAAAATACTGGCATAGTGAGATTTATCCACTGATAAATTACTTATGTGAATACTCTTTATTCATTGATTCATCGTTTAGTTTCCATCTTGATCCATGTACTTATTTTCCATCCACAATTAATCAAGTTGGAGTGGACACAATTTCACACATTCTTTTATGTGCACAATTAGGGTCGTGAGCGTGCCGGAGCAACACAGTTGCGGGTGTGGCTAGTAGACATGCAGCCCTCAACCGGCGACTTGACTGTTATGATCCTTGCTGCAGCAGTGAACCCACAGGTTTCTCAGCAGCTGGTGTACGCTCTTGGTAAGTAGATATTTTCAGTGGAAATTAAGCTGGCTGATATTGATATGCTGGGATCTGATTATTTTCTACAGTAGTGGGCTGTAATGATGAAAGTATCAGGTGGGGGGATAATAGGTGACTAATGGCTTATGATGGTGGTGGTGGTTATAAGGGGTTGGTTGATGACTATAAAATGCCACCAATCATCTTCTAATGGAACCTCCCTTAGGTACAGCAATTTTGTTCTTCTAAAGGAATGACTTCAGGAGTTTAACCCCTGGGCTGCACCTCCTAATACAGGAATAACAGGTAAAGTAGGATGGTGGCTATTAAATTTTTGTCGAATAGAACACAAAGAGTAACAGTCAACCAAATAAAATAGTCCAAGCACAGTTAAAAGCTCTGTACCTCAGTGAACAGTCCTTTATACCACTGCTTTTCCTTATTCTCATATCAGATATAGACAAAACTACAAGTCACAGTTTCATATCATCCTTTGCAGATGACACAAAAATTTGCACGAAAATTACCTCTGCTGAAGACATTGAAAAACTACAAACAGATATTAATAAAGTTGACCAAACCACACACTAGAAAATGAAGAGGAGAAGACGTTTCGATCGTCCTGGACCATTATCACAATCGACTTGATAATGTTCCAGGACAGACGATCTCTTCCAGCAGATCGGACCGGTACATCACGTGGATGGTTCGGTCTTCGCGTATGGTATTTTTGACTCAAGTTTATCATCATCTCTATGGTGATCAGGTGGCTTCCTTATTAGTGTCCCACCTGCGGGCTTTGTCTTGGCGGCAGAATGAAGTTTCCTGGCAGTCCTTCCGGTTTTTCTTAAATCTTCGTCGTTGTACTTCGCTTTCTGTTAGGGTGGTAATGTCCTTTCTCTCTTGGCTGTTCCAGGACCGTCTCCTTGTGTCTAACACTGTCGCCTCATATTGTGTGACGCTGGCGGGGCCGCTTCAGCTTGCTTTTGGTATTGATGTCAGATTTGCGCCGTCTGAGCCGTCCTGGTCTTTGGACAGGGTGCTCTCTTTTCTTTCTTCCACTCGTTTTGTTGTGGCCCCTTCGATTCCGAATTGTTTTTCGAAGGCTCTTTTCCTGTTGGCATTGGCCTCTGGGAGTTGGGTTGGTGAGCTTCATGCTCTCCTCCGGCGCAGAGGTTTCTGCTCCTTCGGTCGGGGAGATCGGTTTGTTCGTTTGCAGCCTTCTCCTTTTCTGGCGAAGAATGAGACTGCGGCTTTCTGGAGGGTTCCCTAGGTTGTTAATGCTTGGTTGGTTAGGCCGGGGGTGCATCATGTTTTGTGTCCGGTTGTGGCTCTCCGCTGTTATTTGCGGGCCACGGCTTCTGTGTCCGTGGACGCGCTTTGGGTTGATCCGGTTTCCCTTCTTCCCTGTTCGAGGGTGCGAGTCTCCCAGCTCGTCCGTAGGGTTATCAAGGCTAGCCAGCCTGCAGTCTATCCCCGTGCCCATGACGTCCGCGAGTTCGCGGCTCTTGCCGCCGTCTTTGGCAATATGTCCTGGGTTGACATTTTTCGGGCGCGGGGATTTTGGCAGTCGAACAGGGTCCTGGCTGCTCGTTACCTTGTAAACGTTCCTGGGCACAGTCGGGCCTGTGCAGCTTTGGGTCGGCGGATGCAGCCAGTTGTCTCGACTTTGGGTTGAGGAGTGAGCAGCAACCGCCTCCCAGGTAAGTCCGTATTCTTTTCCTCTGTGGGTAGTTAGCTCTGGGGAGCCATAGGGGCTTCCCCCCAGAAAAACAGCATTGAATGTAATGAAACGCCATTTTTTGGGCGAGTCCCGGAGGCTCCCCGGCATCCCTCCCTCCCTCCGGTTGGCGTTTTTTTCGTGTGTTTTGACATCCAGCTTCAGAACTGGGGTGTGGATTGCTAGCGTGGTGGGTCTGGGGTTACCACTTCCCCCTCCCAGGGAGGGGGGGAGCTGCGCAGACAGCGGCGCGACGACGAGTGATGTCATACTAGTTTCCTCGTTTTTGTTTGGGGAGTTCTATCCATTCGTTCGGCTTTTGGTTGCAATTTTCACCAGAATAGGGGTTTGTTTTGGGATGCCGACCTTTCTGGGTGCCTAACTCGATCGATGACAGACATAGAATGTTTCCAATCACACGGGGGTTTCTATAGGCCATTGCTCCCCTTGCCTCTCTGAGGCGGGCCAGGTTCTGGCTCGTGGTCCCCGGTAGGCCCATAAGAAATCCATACACATGACTGATGCCAAAGTCTGACATTAGCATATCAGCCTAGTAAGCTCCGAGGAGCCTCTGGGACTCGCCCAGAAAATGACGTTTCATTACAATCGACGCTGGTTTTTTCATCCTCATATCGGACATAAAAAAAAGGACACAAACTATAGTTTGTGTCCTTTTATAAATATCTAAATAAATATCCTAGACACTAGGATATTTATGAGAGTAGACAACATACAGGATGCAGCAGACCTCCAATCAGATGTAAATCGGGTCTTTCAGTGGGCTACAGAAAATAATATAGTATTTAATAAAGATAAGTTCCAGCTCCTGCACTACAGAAAAAATGAAAATATAAAAATGGAAACCATGTACAAACAGCAGTCAAATCATAACATAAAATGAAAAAGCAATGTAAAGGATTTGGGTGTACTCGTGTCGGAAGACCTTGCCTTTAAAGGGCACAATAAAGTAGCCATCACAACTGCAAAAAAAAATAACTAGTTGGATAACAAGAAATTTTAAACTAGAGATGCTATACCAATGATACCTTTCAAGATGCAAGTGCTCTCTAGAGTAGAATACTGTTGCACAATGACAGCCCCTTTCAAAGCTGGATAAATTGCTGGCCTACATGCATGCAGAGGTCGTTTACTGCTAGAATCCACTCGGTAAAACATCTAATCTATTGTGACCGACTAAAATCCCTAAATCTGTATTCTCTTGAGTGCAGGCGGGAGAGATACATAATAATTTACACGTGGAAAATATTAGAGGGGCTGGTCCCAAACCTGCACACAAATGAAACCACAGGAGACCAGAAGGCATGGCAGGATGTGCGGAATACCCCCATTGAAAAGCATGAGGTGCAACAGGTACTCTGAGAGAGGCCTCTATCAACATCAGAGGCCTGAGACTGTTCAACACGCTTCCACTACTGACTGACCGACTCCTCGCAGTGTTTGAGAGAAAGCTCGATAAACACCTCCAAAGGATACATGATCAACCAGGCTGCGAACAGTCGCGTCCAACAGCTTGGTTGACAAGTCCAGCAATGAGGAGGCCTGGTCGAGGGCGAGGCTGCGGGGACGTTGAGCCCTGAAATTATAGCAAAGTAAGGTAAGGGGTGTAGCTCGGTCTTCTCCGAGGATGGTCCTTACACATTGGGGCAAAGGTAGTCGAGTCTTCTAGTCCCATTGGAGTTTCGAGGTGCTCGTCTTCACAACCACCTTTGTAATGCCCTTCAAGTTGATCTAGAAAAATAAGTGCTTGGAGCGTCAAGTGCCAAAGAGAATTCATTGTGAATAAATGCCAAGTTATGGAATGTGGAATCGGAGAAATAGACCACGCACAACTTACAAATTATGTGGAAAGGAATTACAAAACTCTAATAAAGAATGAGACCTAGGGGTGGTTTTGGACAGTAAGCTGTCGCTAGAGGAACACACAAAAAAACATTGTAAGTGGAGCGTATGTGTCACTTTCTAACTTCAAACTTGTTTTTAATTACTGTGTATGGTTGGTGAAATACCAAAGAAACTGTTCATGACTTTTGTGAGACCAACATTGGAATATGCAGCACTTGTATCTCAAGAAGCGCACAAATAAACTGGAAAAGGTGCAACGGCATGCTACAAAATGGCTTCCGGAACTGAAAAACGAGTTACGGGGAGAGACTTGAGGCGTTAAACATGCCAAAACTAGAAGATAGAAGAAAAAGAAGTGATATGATCACCACTTAAAAAATACCAACAGGAATCCACCAAATTTACAAAGAAGAATTCCTGAAATCAGCAACTTCACGAACAAGAGGACATAGATTCAAGCTAAGGAAACAAAATTGCCATTTTTTTTTTTTTTTTCCAACACAGTGGTAGACGGTTGGAACAAGCTAAGTAAGGTGGTGGTGGAGGCCAACACCGTTAGTAGTTTCAAAGCGGTATTTGACAGAGTACTGGGAAGACGGGACACCATGAGCGTAGCTCTCATCCTGTAACTTCACTTGGGCAATTACCGTATTTGCCAACGTACGAGATGCACTTTTTTACCTAGTACAGTATACATAACCCACACCTGATATGTCATACATTATTTAACTACTGTGTTACCTTTAAGACAGTTATTATCTAAATGAAAAATTCTCCTAGAAATTTGAAAGGAATGTTAATCGTTCATCCGCCTGTCAGCCATTTGCAATGCGTGAATGGCAACATCACTAGAGTGCTGTGATTGTGCACCACCCTGGAGGCCTGATGTGGCAACACAAAACATCGCATCCAGAAATACAAGTTTCACATTCTGTATAGCAATTCTCGTGCCCAAAATATAAACTATACCACAGCTGATCTTAGAGGAGGTAAGAGTTTTGGTACAAAATCCACCTTAAAATATCTTTCAATAAATGTATGATGAAACATATTAAAATTGTTTTTTTCCACAAAATATCCTTATAAAATAGAGGTGCATCCTATGCAAGCATGCGTCTTTTTATTCCGGCAAATACAGTACTTGGGTAATTATCTCCTGACCCTAAGCTTTCTCCTTGGGAGGATACCTTCCTGTCTTAGGTGCTGCACGAGTACTTTGGCTCTACCTTGGGGGACCTCAATGACGGGCTTCTGGGGTTGAATGGGAGCCTGAGGTGTGTTTTTCGGTGCCTTTCAGCCTCAATTGGTTCTTGGTTCCCTCTGCGGAGGGTCTTATGTTGCAGGGGGATTACAGTGGCATCTCAACTTACGATTGCCCCTACTTATACAACTCGACTTAAGATAGTGTTGTCGACTAACGATATTCGTTGATACACGTTTGGGTCGACCAAGCGCTTGATTCCTGATCACGCGGGCCGACCTGTCTCAGTTTACTAGAGCCGCCTGCTTAGTGACGATCACACTTATAAGAAATTCCATTTTTGAGGTGCTTTTTTTTGGCTTTTTGAACATAATACTGATTATTATATATGCCATGGGTCCCAAGAAAGTCAGTGGTAAGGTTCAACATATGAAAACATGTGTAAGAATGACCATAGAGGAAAAACAAGAGATCGTTCATAAACATGAAAATGATACTCGTGTTGCTGAAATAGCTAGGCAGTACAACAAATCTTCAGCGGAGGAGGCGGCGGCGGCATTAGAGGATGTCCCTTCCTCATTAAGAAAATGTGTGCAGTATGGGAAGAACTGCAAAGTTTTGCTGAAAAGAATTGCCCAAATAAAGCTGTAACAGGCCGTTGCATTGATCTTTTTAATGACAATGTAATACCTCGTTACAGACAAAATGTTGCAAAGAAGGAAAAACATTCTTCAATGGAACGATTTCTAGTGAGAAAATAAAGCAGTGAGCCAGAAGTAGGTCCTGGTGGTATGCAGGCAAAACGTGCCAGTGTGTGTAGTCCAGAGAAGTCCTCACTGCCTGATGTTATAATGGAAGGGGACTCCCCTTCCAAACAGTGGCGTTACATAGCCTTCCCAGTTTGGTGCCTTCCTTTGATAATAACTTACTCCCCTTCCAAACAGTAACACTTCTCCTCCTCCCCGTCCTCACAATCTTCCATACGGCATTAAGAGTCCTCCATAAAGGTAAGATAAACATATGTACTGTATTGTAGTTAGAGAAAAAATTGTATTCAGTATAAAATGCATTTTTAAGTTAATGTTTTTGAGGGTGTGGAACGGATTAATTCAATTCCCTTTATTTCTTGTGGGAAAAATCGTTTCGACTTACGATATTTTGATTTACAATACGTCTCTGGGAATGGATTACCATCGTAAATCGAGGCCCCACTGTAATTTATCTTATCCCCCCTGCCATGTATTGCTGTTTATATTTGAAGTATCTTTCCTGTTGAGTTTTTACAAGCCAATGTGGCAATACTAGTTGCAGAATTTTTTGGTAAATTGTCAGCTCGTTATACAGTTGCTAGTTGTTTTAAAAATAAGGTGTAAGGAAAAGTGCAGTAATTATTTTTTAAGAATATGGAAAACTTAATTAAGAATATGGAAGACATAATTGAGAATATATCTAAAACTAAGCTAAGATTGAGCTAAACTAAACTAAACTAAACTAAAACTAAGCTAAACTAAAACTAAGATTGAGAATATATCTAAAACTAGGTTTAAGAAATACATTTGCTCAAATCTAGTTATTAAATTGTTTAAACAGCCACAAACCTTCCATCAACAATCTCTCTCTTGGGCTAGCTTTTCCCTAGCATTCCATAAAGTTGCTTATTCATCGATAGCATCCTTGGTGAATCTGAGTTTTTACATTGTTCTCTGTATGTCCTTTTGCTTTCATATTAGAATCTTGAATGACATGTAGGGCCTTTTGACTTCACCACAGATGGTGATAAGTCTTTTGGGATTGGTGCTTTCTTTTGATAATTAACTAGTTTGGGCTAGCTGGTCTATTCTGGTTTGCTGTGTATATGGAATATAGACTTGGTTTAGCACCTTGTTTAGGGAACACGCTGAAACAGTTTTTGTCTGGTATAACATTTATTTCATATAAAAAACTTGAAAAAATAATACATAGAAGTGATCACAGTAGAAAAATGATCCTGCTTGATTTTGGAGCAAGTTTATTTTTTTATTTTAGTAATTATAATATTCACATTGAAGATGTGATAAGATGTCATAAGTTATTTGGACCTTGGATCACACTTGTGCATTTACTTTTGAAAAGATTTTGAATAAGGATGAAACAATCTGCAGAACTTGCATAAGACTCACTTTTTCTGTGATAGAATGTTTCATAATTCAGTTCTAGCATTGTAAAATGTATTTGACCCAGCAATAATGCTTTATTATAATCTTTAGGACATTTAAATTTAAATAATTGCAAATTAAAATTGTCATTATTTTTTCAAAATGTTTATCAACCTCGTACTTAAGTTTATAGGTCTCTGGCAAGAGTGCATTAAATAATAAGGAATCTAATGTTACATTTGTCACTGACTGCAAAGTGGTCAACTTAGTTAAGAGTTTCTCCTTTAGTAACTCGCGCCTCCAGGTACTCTATTCGCCGCTCCAGCATTGTCAACTTCTCGTTCAGTTGACTCAGCTTAGATCTGCATGACATATCAAAGCTGTTGAGGAACTCTGCTATCCTCTTGATATTGCTGGTGATAACCTAGTGAAGAAAGACATGATTTTACACTTGAGATGATGTGGTGAAGGAGGATATGTATATTGTTTGTTTGCACACCTTTTTAAACATCCAAACAAATCAGCACATGCACATGAATAATTTTAAATATATACGATAAAAAATGTGGACAGTCACTTGTTTCGATAATGCTTTACAGAAGGTAAATCCTAAATATAGCATCAGCGTGTGTCCAAAAAGATAGCTGCAGATGCCTTATGATATGAATCATTGAAGAGGTGGTGTGGGTCAATATGGTAGATGCATCGTTTAATGCAGATGGTTGTTCAAAATTAGTGTTCAATAGATTAGGCCTATCAGACAAGAATTGACAAATATTGACAAGTGTTTTTCATTGCATAGTGTTAACCATTTTAATGCTAAATTATCAAATTTTATATAAGCATCATTGCATTTGCTTGTGCAGCAAAAGATTACATCTTTTCTGAAAAGCTCCGACCAGCATGATCTTACCTCAATGTATTCCCGATTAATCCAGTCTTGCTTGATTTGTTGAGTGATAACTTGATTGCGCGCTGACATCCTGCAAGGTGTTGTAGACTTGGACTAACCGTTACTGTAATGGTTTAAGGGAAAGCTGTAATGGTTACATAATAGTACAATAATACTATATACAAAATATTTGAAGGATTGATTAAAAAGTATTGCATAGTAGGTACAGTTTTGCAAAGCTTTTTATAAAGTTACACAATTACATGAGGTTGGTTGGTTCTCGTTTCTAAATATTTTGGCATCATTATAGACTGGCACGTTATCATTTAGATATTAATGTAATTAAGTGTTTATTTGTTGGAAACTCTTAGAACCAACACAGCTTAGAATTATAACTGAATAGAAAGTAACATTTTGACAGTGGCCATTTGAGAAAACTTTCACCCATCCCCTCCTTCCATAAAGTGAAGTGTACAATTTACAGTACTGTACCAGTAAACATTTAAATATTTTTTCTTTGCTTTAGTTTGATTCAAGAGTTCTCATCTTGCCAGGAATGGCTGATGTGTGGTGCCGGCATACGACTAATGACTACGCTTACTTTGACGCCCCATAGGCCTATTTCCGAAGTATCTGTAACCCCTTGGGTTAATTAAGGACTCATTATTATGATAATTATAAAATTATTTGAAAATATATTGAGGTTTATCTGATAGCCTTTTACTTTGCTATTCAACAATGCCTAGCACACGGACACAGCCTCTACATTGAACGATGTATCTTGTTCTTGAATCAAGGAGTGGACTAAATCTTCACCTTTAGCGTGGCTTTGTTCAATATACTTGAACTAAAATTAGGTTCAGTAAGGCAAGGTCATGCAGCATATTGAGGAGGATAATGCAACTAGGTCATTAATGAAATTATGTAAAAAAAAATTATTTACATATACTGTACAAGTTCTTAGTCTTGTAAAGCCACTAGCACGCATAGTGTATAATGTTTCGTGCAGGTCCTTAAGCCAAAATTTCCCTGGAATACGACATGTCAAATCATTTAACCAGGTACCCATTCACTGCTGGGGTGAATAAAGGCTACAGTTAAGGACTGATGCCTAGTCAATCCTCCCTGGGGTTACGAACCCAGGCCAAATCGCTCGCGAAGTGTGGGGTGAGTGCGTTACCACTAGACGACAACTATTACCACAGGAAATCCAAATTTTCACGTGATAACCATTATTTTACATAAGTTCATATTTCTTGTTAAACCACAGGCAGGTGGGAAATCAGATGGTCACAACAGAGGCTTTACTAGAGAATTACACCATGACTGGCATGAAAATTCCCCCAAATTAACCTGAAAATTGAGTACAGGTAGTTCTTCTTTGTGATATGTGCAGTTTGCATGAAGGTTTGTCCTGATGACTGCACGAGTGGTAATGTTGAAAGATGCGGCACTCGGTGGCGCATCAGTGTTCATAATTTGGCCGAGGCTGAAAGTTATCGAGGTCATCTATTTGTGTGAGGATAAAGACAAAACTAAACATGAGTGGAAATGGACTCAGGATGGCAAAGACGAGTTGTGTTAATAGTCCTGATCAACCAGGTTGATACATATGTCAGGCTGCGAGCAGCCACATCCAACAGCCTGGTTGACCAATCCAGCAACCAGAAGGCCTAGTCGGGGACCGGGCTGCGGGGTTGTTGAGCCCCAAAATCATCGCAAGGTATGGTGGTAGCCAAGTGTCGCTGTTCTATGGAAAGTGTGTGGTCTAGTTAAGAGACAGTTTGTGAGTCGTAGTATGTTTGGGAGTTAGTCGCAATTCAGTTAGGTTAGGGTAGATAGATTACATAAAGCATTAAGTAACGTGTAGTTAGTGTATGAGGTTAGGTTAGGTTAGTTGAAGATGGGTTATGTTATGTTGTTGTACTTTGAATCCTTACGTCTGGGATGTGATTGCATCGGTCTTCCTTGACATGTCAGTAGTAGTTGTTAGTAGGTTTGTACAGCTGGGGGATTTCTTACTCTTGGTGGTGGTGGTTGTAGTTGTGGCAGGTCAACCTGGGAGAGTGATTTGGGTAAGGCATGCTGAGTAGTTATTTATGAGTTTGTCCACCATCAGTTGAAATGATCTGTGTACAGCAAAGGGAAGTTGCGTTAGGTCAGATGTCATTGTCTATAAATGTGGATGGGGTGTGTGTGTTGGCTCAGCCTCCGGGATGGGTTGGAATACTTGTGTAAAGAATTTAGACAGGAGCCGGTCCAGAGTCTTTTCTAGTGCATTTTCAATGGGAGTGACGAAAGTCTCAACAAGATTGGAACTCAGTTGTACGTTTTGTGGGGAAGGAATGGTCTAAGGGGGGTGC